ATCATGTGCCATTACAGAGAGAACATCTCTGAAACATATCAGACTGGTCCCACCCATACGGGCAGTCCAGATCAGAAATGCCAGCAAGTTCCCTCTGCACGAGAGATACAGCAACCCCAGACAATCGTTTCAGCCTTATTAGGCATCATCAGTGAGGCATAGCTGATATCTCTCTAGGCACCGTGAACAAGGGGTCCACGTCTGGATTACCCTTTAAACTTATGGAGAGCAAAAAACTGGGTGCAAGAGAATACTGAGAACAGGCAGCAGCTGAAATAGCCTGCCTTTTGGTGGGTTCCTGCTCAGTTCTCAAGCTGGTTTTAGCTCATCTTGTGTCATTACAGAGAGAACATCTCTGAAACATATCAGACTGGTCCCACCCATACGGGCAGTCCAGATCGGAAATGCCAGCAAGTTCCCTCTGCACGAGAGATACAGCAACCCCAGATGATCATTTCAGCCTTGTTAGGCATCATCAGTGAGGCATAGCTGATATCTCTCTAGGCACCGTGAGTAAGGGGTCGACGTCTGGATTACCCTTTAAACTTATGGAGAGCAAAAAACTGGGCGCAAGAGAATACAGAGAACAGGCAGCAGCTGAAATAGCCTGCCTTTCGGTGGGTCCCCGCTCAGTTCTCAAGCTGGTTTTAGCTCATCTTGTGCCATTACAGAGAGAACATCTCTGAAACATATCTGACTGGTCCCACCCATATGGGTGAGTGTTACCCACTCACATTCGTTGACAGGGGTATTTACTAAAGTGAAAATTTCAGGAAGTTCAAAGTGAAATCAAAGTGAATTTTAACATAAAGGTTAAAGAAGCCAAACTGAAAGCATAGCTGACTGGATTTTTCATTTGTAATGGTTATTTTTCATAGATTGTTATAGGTTTCATAATATCAAGTATTACCCAAACAGAGAACCTGTTTCCATGTGGTTTATTGCCCAGTAATGTAAACTTTCCACCTTCACTGCTCCAGTGTCTCATGTTGCTTCTAGTAAATGCACTCAAAGTGCTGCACACAGCACAATTCATCGAAGTTGGGTCAGCACAGCTGTTGAAAGCTACATTATAGTCCTTAGTCCAAACCCTTAGACCTCAGTGTGGACCAGCTAGATGGCCTTGCCCCAGCTTCTTTTTCTTTTCAAATATTTTTTATTGAAAATGTTTTAAATTTTTATATCAATATATGTAGTACAATATAATTATTACAAAGGATATTTAGTCATATATACATTTACACAGTTAAAATATATATATTTTTTTTAGAACTACATCATTATGGTATTACTTTGTTTATAGCCAATAATGAGCCTTTTGTGGGGGGATAAAGAAAATGTCTTTATGAAACAGAAGTTAAGGGGGTATGTCTTTTTCTGAGCGAAAGAAAGAGGGCCATGGCCAGCCATCTACTTGTATTTCCATTCAGGTCTACAATATCTTCAGAGAGCCAATCAGCAGCAGCAGCATATACCAACTGAAAAACTCCCAGGCAAGTTGACTGCAAGCTGGACCTCCCTAACCCTACTGCACTAGCAACTGTGATTCAATTAACCTTTTGCTGTATGTTGTACATCCTGATGCCTGTGGATTCCTTTTCCATATCACCTATGCTGGTTATTTAAAATTTCTATACAGAGCACAAGCACTTCATATAAAACTATAGAAACCATTTTACATTTACAAAATGGTGTTTTGACTTCGGGGACTTTATTTTCCTGATGTAAATACTTTGCTTGTTGACTAGGTGTAATTTCTCACAAAGCAAGCTTCAACAGGAAAATTAATCCTTAAAGAGCTGCAGCAGAGAGAAGCCATCTCACAAAGAAGCCAGTGACTGGACCATTTTGTCGGCTCAAAGTGCATGCACACAATCTGAGCGGGTGAGTGTAGAGGGGAGGAGGGAGTGAAGCGAGTGTAGGAAGATAATTTAATAAATAATATTAAAAAAAAGAAGCAATACAAGAAGCGGAGAGTGGCGGGAGAGCGCCCACAGAAAGGGAAAACCTATCACTCTGTCTGCAAGGGAGAACGTTAGAACTTCTGTCACATATGCACAGAATTGATATCATTGGCAGTTCTGGATTGCCAATGTTACGTGTGCTCCTACCACCTTAAAAACATCATATTACTGAAGTGGCCATGGTGGTTGGAGTAACCCTTTAAGTTTTGGCTAAATGCCATTGAAGGTTTGGTGGGAGAAAATGAAGCAGCAAGCAGTCAAAAGGAGCTTAGGGCCTCTTAAATAATCAGTGCTTAGCTGTCTGAACCTAGTTTAATGAGGACCCTCTGAGCTACTGGGATGAGAATAAGAAAGTAAAGCCTACTCTGTGTCTGGTTGCTCAGCAGTTATTGACAGCTCCAAACTGAGCAAGAAAATAAAAAATAATTTTTTTTCACAGTTTTGACAATAATAGCGTGTGCATAATAAGTCCAGCTTAGAAAAAGTAATTCAAAATAAATTAACTTATGTGTCTTGATTTATAGAGTACATCATATGTACAAGATTTCAGCTTATTTTTAAAGCTACAGGTCACAAAATACAAGGACTAAAATAAAATTTCAATTTGCAACAATTTTAGAATTTGGTATGTTTGTCTTGTAGGTTTAGTAGCCATCACAGAAAACAAAATTGCCATACAAAAGTATATATTTATAGAAAGTAGATATCAAAGGCTATTTACTTAAGGTTAGTTTGACACTTTTTACGTAGCCATTTCATCGCCAATCTCTGCTAAATATTGGAGTAAAATTGTGTTTTTTCTCTATTTTGGCATATACACATATAACAAGGTTTTTGTAATGTGTATTTCGTAAAGCTGGTGTGTGCTATTCCTGCACAGAACCCCATATTGTGTTCAGATACATATGCTGAGTATAACGATACCCCCATTGTATGCCTTTGGCACTTTTATGTAAAGCTACAGTGCCATATAAGAGACAAGGCTATTTCAGTTTCTATAGTTAGAATTTTCGTAGATACATTTGACGGTCCTATGTCTCATTTTAGGGTATTATAGCAGTGTGACTGTTCAAATAACACCACAAAGGGCTTTCATTTGATAAAGCAGACACCCCGTATCTTATATGGTGCATATTGTGCCTTACCTTGTCACCATTTTTCACCAATTTATGTAAATGTTTGTGGTGAGGGTAGGGAAAAATTTCATTTTTACACATGTTGCATTTTTGCTGAGTATTTCTTACACTTAAAGGGACACTATAGTCACCCAGACCACTTCAGCTCAATGAAGTAGTCTGGGTGTCAGGTCCCTCTAGGGTTAACCCTGCCTTCTGAGGAACTGCTATGTTTACATCTGGGGTTAAGCCAGCCTCTAGTGGCTGTCTTCCAGACAGCCACTAGAGGTGCATCCGCAATGATTGAGGCATATTATGCCTCAATCACGCAGAGCGTCCATAGGAAAGCATTGAAAAATGCTTTCCTATGGACACTTTGAATGCGCGTGTGGCAGTGCCGCGCATGCGCATTTGGCGCCGGTGACATCAGACAAGGATGCAGACGTCAGCGGGGGAGGAGAGGTAAGGGAGCCCTTCAGCGCCGCGGTAGGGGGACCCTGAGGGTGGGGGCACCCTCAGGGTACTATAGTGTCAGGAAAACCATGCGGTTTTCCTGACACTATAGTGTAACTTTAATATGTACCACTGCCATAAAAATCCCCAAATTATACTCAGTTACACCTTCTGAGTAAAACAATACGCCCAATGTATGACCTAGACATTATTTTGTGAAGTTACTGTGCTGTAAAAGAGACGTGACAAGTTCAGGTTTTTAAGTGTGAATTTTCATGGAGGGTTTTGATGTGTCCGTGTCCCACTTTGGAGCACTTGAGAAGGCTACATATTACAACTACACCATAAAGGCATACCATTGCTTAAAGAAGACATCCCAGGGTATTTTAACAGGCATATTTTGAACCTTAGCGTGGGATCATTTTTCCGCTAGCTTGCCCCCAGCGGCAAACCCCGACTCAGGAGGTAATTCCTCTATTTAACCTTTCTGCACGTGAACTAAGTGAGGAGGAGATTACCTTGCTTAGCGAAGGCCTCTCCTTTGTTCCAACCACCAGTCCTAATTTGTTTAAGTGGAATGTCGATCTATTCCATTTGGGAGGATTCTTGAGGTTTAAAGAATATTATGCAAACAGAAATTCTTCACAATTAGTACCACATGTACAAGACTCCTGTAAATTTCGAGTTCCCTCTACCTTTGATCCACCATCTACAAGAGCTTCTATCAGAACCTTCCTGAACACCACAGCAAATTAATCTAGGAATATTATACAAAAACATAAGCAAAGGCACCAAAATATCACCAAACAACAAAGAAAGATCATCCAAGACTTGGCTGATGACCCCAACATTGTAATTCGTCCCGCCAACAAGGGCGGTGGAATTGTTATTATGGAATACCAAACATATGCTAATGAATTAAAAATGCAGTTACAAGATCACTCTGTTTATCTACCGCTGGAAAGGGATCCAACTAAACGTGTATTTGATACCATAGAGGATGCAGTGGGTTTCTGTCAAGCTGCTGGATATATTGATCTACCACTTTCACAATTTTTGGTCAAACGTCATCCAAGAACACCGGTTATATATAGCATTCCAAAAATGCACAAGAACGTCTCTAGACCACCTGGAAGACCTATTGTCTCTGCAGTAGGAGGGGTACTGGAACCATTCACCCAGTGGTTAGATCACCTGTTTAAAGCTCCTATAGAAAATTTACCCACATGTATTAAGGATACCAAAACCAAAAGTTGAGCGACCGATTTTAATAACCATGGACGTCGGTAGTCTGTATACGATTATACCCCATGACCAAGGCATCGATGCAATGAGACATATTCTCACACACTCCCCATGGTATCAAGGTCCTCCGGTAGAATTTATCCTGGAACTTTTGTCTATTGCCCTACAGTATAATTACTTTAGGTTTGAAAATCAATGATATCAGCAAGTATCCGGGATATCAATGGCGCCTATGTACGCCAATGCCTATATGTTCCAATACGAACAACAGAATATTTTATCTGAATATGGACACCTAATCAAAGGTTACTATCATTATATTGATGATAATCTCATTGTGTGGCAAGGCATGGAACAGCAGGCATTGGATATGATCCAGACCATTAATAATCTTCGCTCACCAGTATGGATGACTTCAAACATTAGCTATGACTGGGTCTACTACCTAGATCTTGAGATCTCTGTCAACAATGGTAAGATACAATATTGCCTTTACACCAAACCAAGTGACCGTAACACTAAATTACATGCCACAAGTGCCCACCCAAAGGCATTATTAAAATCACTCCCAAAGGCTCAATACTTGCGAGTTATTCGCAATAATTCGAATCCAGAAGTCATGGAGGAACAGATTACCACTATGACACAGAAATTTCTCAACAGGGCTACCATCTTGATTTGTTACAGAAGGCTCTACAACAGGTTAGACAAAGTGTGGCCCCCTCTAATCATAACAACAACAAAAACAAAGACAGAATGGTCTTCCCAACAACATACAATGGGGCTTCTGCAAGTCTTTCTAATATTATATCCAGAAATTGGAATATGTTGAGACATGATGATGCACTAACACAGTATTGTCAACAACCCCCACTGATGTGTTTTAAAAGATCAAAGAGTTTATGTGACCTATTGGTCCACACGGACCCTGTTACCAGTTATATACCCAGAACACCAAATCGAGGGTGCATACGGTGCCTTGGGTGCGTCACCTGTGGGCATATGACCCCAGGTCGGTTTTTCTACCATTCACATAATGGCAAGAAATACCAGATTTGCTTCACCATTACTTGCAAATCCTCTTTTATAATATACAAATTATCATGTCCGTGTGGACGAGTTTACATAATCAGATCCTAACAAGGAAAACAACTTGCCTGTATAACCATTTTTCTTTCCCTCTTCCTCTTCTCATCGGAGATTTTTTTTTTAGATGGATCATATTCCCCAGTATCTAACCAGAGGGAGCCATGTTTCCAAGTATTTCTCCTTTTTACTCCAATCAGACTAGTGTCATTTCAACCTTAGTTATCCACTGATCCATTGTAGGTACATTAGTTTGCCTCCAATGGATTGGGATAAGCATATTAGCTTCCCCCAATAATAGCTATAATAATTTTTGTTTATGAGTATCCAAAAAAGTACAGGGTAAAGCACCTGTCAAGGTGTAAATTAAAACTTAAAAGGAAGCACCTATTTAATTAAATTAATAACTTGTGCCCAATAGGTCTGTATTTTTTTACAAAACCACCATATTTGTTCTGTCGCCCCTTTCCTCTCCACATCTCCAGCACTGGTCACTGTAGGACGGTCTAACAGCATGAATATTTACAGGGGTTCTCTACCACCGTGCTATGCGTTTATAAAAGCTCTCTCTTTTTGTTAAGCTTATTGAGGCATCTAATGCTTTCCGAAAAATATTCATCCAGTCATTCTCAGATATTTGTATATGTATAGTGTTCATCAATTTCCTCTGGAAATTTTACATTTCCCCTCCATTTGTCACCTTCTGAATTAAATGGTATATCCTGGAGACGGAGCCTCTTGTATACTTATTTGTAACACATATCTTTTCAAAAGGGTTTAGGTCGCTATGTTTCCATTGAGATACTTCAGAAAACCAATCAATTGTACACATCTGATAGTGTTTATTAATGAATGGCGTTGTTTAAACCTCCATTAGTCTTGTAGTAGTTAGTACATGTTCCCCTACCATAATAGAGGAAAGAATAGGATTTGTATCGCCTAAGAGATTTTTTATTATATTTGCGACTTGTCCCCCTTGAAAGTCTGGGTTTTCTGCCAAAGGAAACAAAAGAGATATTCCTATTGATAATTGCCATAGATTTTTATATTGTCGCAATTTTTTAAATCTATTACTAATCAGGTGATGGGGGTTGGGCAATAATTTTCTTATAATGCATGTTTGCCATGGCAGTGTAAGTAGCTGGACAGAAACAAAACTTTGTTTCACTCCAACCCATGGTTTCCCTTTTTTAATATCTGTCCACTCACACACTCTATTAACAAAATAGTGAAGTAATATCTATACATGTGAGCAGGGGCGTATTAGCCGCGAGGCAAACAAGGCATTTGCCTTGGGCGGCATTTTTCAGGGGGCGGCAAAAAACTCCGCCCCCCAAATGCCCAAGGCAAATATCTTGTTAGCCTCGCGGCTAACAGACATTCTGGGCGCTGGGCGGCAGTGGCTGCAGCGCTGGGCGGACGTGAGGGCTCTTCCTGGCTCTGCTCACAGCTCCCTCGGCGCCAGCAGGTGAGGGCGGGGCGGGAAGATGGCGTCATATTCGGCTCCCAGCCTACTCTGCTGGCCCGGCAGCAACTGAGCAAGTAGCGTCAGGGGAAGAGCTCCGGCGGCTGCTCCCGCTCCACTGCCTTCTGACCACTGAACACTGAGGAGGGAAGAACCCCCCAGCATTACCAAAGGTAAGGAGGCTGGGGGTTAAATAAAAAACAAAAAAAAACACTAGTGTGTGTGTGGAAGTCTGTTAGTGTGTATGTTGGTGTGTATGTGTTGGTGTGTGTATGTATGTTAGTGTGTGTATGTATGTTAGTGTTGGTGTGTGTATGTATGTTAGTGTTAGTGTATGTATGTTAGTGTGTGTGTGTATGTTAGTGTGTGTATGTTAGTGTGTGTGTGTGTATGTTAGTGTGTCTGTTAGTGTGTGTGTGTTAGTGTGTGTGTGTGTATGTTAGTGTGTGTGTGTATGTTAGTGTGTCTGTATGTTAGTGTGTGTGTGTATGTTAGTGTGTGTGTGTATGTTAGTGAGTGTGTGTATGTTAGTGTGTCTGTATGTTAGTGTGTCTGTATGTTAGTGTGTGTATGTTAGTGTGTGTATGTTAGTGTTTGTGTCTGTTAGTGTTTGTGTCTGTTAGTGTTTGTGGATGTCTGTTAGTGTGTGTATGTTAGTGTTAGTGTGTGGATGTCTGTTAGTGTGTGTATGTTAGTGTGTGCATGTTAGTGTTTGTGTCTGTTAGTGTGTATATGTTAGTGTTAGTGTGTGTGTGTCTGTTAGTGTGGATGTCTGTTAGTGTGGATGTCTGTTAGTGTGTGTGTTTGCCTGTTAGTGTGTGTGTGTGTTTGCCTGTGAGTGTGTGTGTCTGTTAGTGAGTGTGTGAGTGTGTGTCTGTTAGTGACTGTGTGTTTCTGTTAGCTAGTGAATGCGTATCTGTCAGTGAATGTGTGTGTGTGTATTTAGAAGGCGGAGCAGGGGGGAAGGTTGGGTGGCGGTTGCACGGGTGGGGGTGGCGCGGGGGGGTGCCTGAGTTTTGTCCTGCCTAGGGCAGCACAAAACCAGGATACACCACTGCATGTGAGGCATACCCAAGCCACTGCTATCCCTACTTTTGGTCAATATATCACATGATATATATGCTTTCTTATTGCTCTAAATAAAGGAAAGGCAGGGAAATAAAGGAAATACATTTATCCACGTTAATTTAAAAATTAGAGAGTGAACTGAATATTTCTATTTCCTTAGTGGCCTGGGTTAATAAGCTATATCGGTCAGTGAGAGTGAAAAGAACGTTGTCTGCAAAAGCAGAAACCTTTGTCTCTACTCACACCGCTGGGAACCTTTTTATTGATTGATTCATTCTTATTGCATTAAGAAAGGGCTCAATAACCAAAACAAAAAGGAACAGAGACAAGGGACATCCTTGCCAAGTTACATTACCCATTGCAAATGATTGGGATAGTTGCCCGTATACTCTCACACTAGCTGATGGTCCCCTATAAAGTGCAGGAATCCAAATTTGATATCTCATTGGAAACACTAGTGCCTCCAATACTAAAAATAGATAGGACAAGTCCACTCTGTCAAATGCTTTTTCAGCGTTGATTGATATATGCAGAATTGGTTGGCTCAAGATCTTTGATGATTTTTGTTGTGTTGTCCTTAACTTCCCTCCTTGGAACAAAGCCTGATTGATCAGAAAGGACTAGTCCAGGCAAATAGTAAAAATAAGTCACACAACAGGTGAGAGCTGACAACCCACACAATAATTACTACCACTTAAAATCTTGAAGTTAGTAGGTACATTCACTTATGAACTGCAATAGAACATTAAACACAGACCATAGTGTAGTATATTAAAACCAAGTATAATAAACAAAAAAACAACTGGTCAAACTCACATATTGCTGAGCCTATTAATAAGCAGGCTCAGACTATCAGTACACTTGAAAAAGGTCGAAAAGCATTGTGCTGTGTGCTGTTGACCATGATATACTTTTTAACCTTTTGGATTATTCCCTAATAAATTGTTTTGAACCTGACCTAGTCTGGACCAATATCATTAAGGTTTTGGTATCACAGTTAGCAGCGCCTTCATAATTGGATGTGGCAGAATGCCATTCAAGATCTCTAAGAGATATTTCCCAAAGAGATCTTCAAAATGTTTATACTATTTTGCTGTTAAGCAATCTGGTCTGGGCTTTTCCCCTATGGCAACAGCTTAATGCTGCAGCTGTAAACAAATATGTCTCTTGCTTTGTAAGAGCCAAGGCTATATCCTCGCTTCCTCATTGGAGCTCTACCAAATCTATTCCTATACAAGCAAAAGTATGGAAGTTACAATCTTTGCAGTTTTGACAATGTCTGGGTACACTATGTTTAAGATTTTGTTTCCCAATACCATAAAAGTGTTCTGACAGTCTCTCATGTAATCTTCTGGCTGTTCTCCTTACGTATTGCATTCCACAGTTACATTGTAACAGATAACATTCTTACTTTTACAATAAATAAAATGTTTAATATAAAATATTTCTTTAGTTCTAAATCTCTCCAAATATTCACCCTGTTTAGAGCACTTGCGTTTAATTCTAGTGTATTGACTTTTTGGAAATCTGTTTTAATATTTAGGGTAATGGCAACTAATATAATCTATAAAACTATTTCTAGCTGTAAAAAAGTTAAAATAAAAGACACCCATCCTTGTGGACTCTATATTAAAATAATATACTGGGTCTCTGCAGATCTCAGGAGATGGCCCTTAAATGTACACCTCCCCACCCCCCACCCTGCTGGTTAGGACCAGATGACAAAGAAAAAAACTTAATGTGAACATATGTAGGGCTCTATGACGAATTAACAATCAAAGCAATAATTACCTTTCTACACAAATCGTACCAAACACAGTTTAGCCTCTTGCAAGATTTACCTAGCAATACCTG